AAAAGTGCTGAAATCTTGGTCAGGCTACAGCAAAACTGTCCATATCAATTTCCATGCCAAGATTAAGAGAAAGTCGTTCTTGAACAACGATGAGAGTCGCATCAATGCGGAAATCAGGGGCAAGAAAGGGGTCCCATTTCTCGGGTTTGGGCCGTTTCACATGGTTTCTTCTTCATCCCCGCTCCACTAACCACCTCTACTTTTATTTCCAATAAGCTACCTTTTCGTCGTAACATCTGCCTCCAAGGTTTTTGAAAGAAGCATGTTATTGTCATTTCTTAGCTACCTGATTAAGATGTCCCACAGACGAAGAGCTGCTGAGCTCTATCACATATCCTACTCCGCTGAGGGCATTCGCTCGATCCCGAGTCTTCAAATTTGCCGACAAAAGTGATATCAATTTTGCCTGCCAAATACGGCTCATGATGAAACAAGACGCCGGAAATGGGACATGCACGGTGGGTTTCGTTTGATCCCATCTTTTTCTTCTTTATCATTTTTTATACCTCAACGACTACAAACATTGTAAGTAGGTTGGAGGTTTTAGACAATGAATATTAAGATCATGAAACATCGACACCAGATCTTGTAAGCCCCAGTCAGCATGTCATAATAGAGCTCGGCTGACGATGAGGCGGTGCAGGCCATACAAGCTTTTTTTGCGTGAGCGACAGTCACCGTTCGACTGTTGCAGCTGTTACTGTTCGCTTCTGAAACTGACTGAGAACTCCAACTCATTTCGAAGTAGTGCCTTTTCACAGAAACCAGGTTGTCCACAGATATCCAGATATCTATCTACAGGGGGGCCCAAAAAAGTCACTCCCCTTCACATTCAAAACGGAATTAATTACACTTTGCCAAAACCAAACCGAATGAGCTCAATTGCATATTGAAGAGCACATTCTAGTTCTATCAAAAACTACATGACAGCCTTTTACACCGACGGCATCAGTGGGCGCTGCATTACATGGTAGTGAAGTTCGCCATTCAGAGCGGGGTAATCTGGCTGTCTCGCCTTTCATTATTCACCGTTTACGGCCGTAGTTCACCACCTTCAAAGGCAAAGTTCGGGCTCAGACCCACCTAAGAAGCCCTTACCATGGCTAGAAGTGCTGGGCACAAAGTGCAAAGGTAGCGCCACCTTTCTACATCGAAACGCGTCACTAGGACCCTAGGCGCCATGAACTTCTAACAGACTCCACCAAACATAACATGGTCCGCCCACCGTTCGATATCTTGTCTGCGTCGCTGCGTTGATCTGCTATGCTCTCTCTTCTCGGACTTCTCTACCACTCTCCGCGCTCACATCTCTCTCCCTGTCTTTTGAACTTCTCCAGCATGAGCAAAATGCTCGTATTTCCTGTGTATTTCAGGATTTTCTTTCCTTTTTTCCATTGGCGGTCCACCTCTCATCCCTACTTTCACATTTGAGTGGAATCAACCATCAATGTAATCCTGATTCTTGCCTTTACTCCCAGTCTATGGCACTTTACTACCGTCCCAGAAGATTTTCCCACGGAAAGAGCTCAGCGAGATCGTCGACCACCTACACCATTACGACATCATCTGAGAACTGGTCAAAAGCAGTATTGTGTAGTCACAGCTGGTGTCTATAGAAAGCTATCGGCTAGTAAACCGACTGAAGGAATCATGTAGCTGTTTTGGACTGAAGCGATTAGGGCCTCCATGAGCACGACGGCAGATGGCGTCATATTCTGGAGACGGTGAATACAGTTAAGGAGGGCCTGCTCCCCTTACGGGGGACATCTGTGGAATGTTTAGCCGTAAAACTCTCAACAACGATGTCCTGTGCGAGAAAAAGTTCGATGAAATGCGCCACAGGCAAAGTGGCTTTTTTACCCTTCCCCCCCCCACCCCCACCTGTATGTATTTACTAAACCAGTGACGGTGATGTTGTGCCTATGTTTTCGTCATCACAGGTGCCAGAGTGTTCAAAGAGACGACGGCGGTCCATTGGCCGAACTCGTATAGCGAGATCCGTAGTATTCGACGTTGTCGCCTCTCCGATGACAGTGTTGGAAACGCAAAGCTACGATCACTTCTCTTCTCAAAGGGGTAAGCTCATGTCCGTTGTGTCACAAGGATTCAGCAATATTGCTATTGCTATTCTCAATGATATCTCTACTAATACCATTTAAAAGATGCTATTCTTTGGTAACGTTACTATAGGAGT